ATATATATATATATATATATATATATATATATATATATATATATATATATATATATGTAAAAGTTAATTTTTGATATTTCTTGCATGTTATAGGAACAGTTTACATTGTCCCTCTTCACCTTTAATTTAGAAAATATCTGGTTGTCACTCTCGTGCGCCGTCATCTTCACTTTACAAAGATGTGCACGATGTGTGCATCTGTGCCAGCTGTGTGATTTCGTTCGACAATATACAACATATTCTCAGTAATTTTCACGCGGTTTTTCCGAAAAAGCACAAAGGGTGTCGCTTTAACAGGCCTTCGATATCAGACCTGCGTTACCGTTACATAGATATATGAGGCAACTGAACGTTAACCGTCGACTGCGAGGGTCGTCGATCCATTGCTCACCGGCCCTCTCGCCCCCACTTTAGGCACACCGTGTAATATTACTAACGTGAGTTACCCTTCCCGAATATTACACCCGTTCTCTACAGAGCGTTGCAAAAGTAACGACGCGATACTGTAACCGCGCGACAGGAGCACAGAAATTATGTTAATCACGTTATATTCGGCAGCGTTTTTCTACAGCGTCTCTATAGCGTTTTCTCGGAAACTAAAAATGTCGCGTTGAAATATAGATTCAACTCGAGATTTAGCTCGATTAAAATAGATTTAGTTCGGGATAAAACGTGCGGTACTTGTGCGCTTGCTCGTCTTAAATCATCGTTTCATCGGCTCAATTTATACTCAAAAGGGTACAGGAGGAAAGAAAGTATTAACCTGGTCGGTGATAAGATGTCTCATACAAGTTTCTGGTTCCCTTGCGTTCTCTCATTCCGTTCTCTAGAGAGATTCCAAGAAGGTTTACTACGCGGCAACCGATATTTCTCGCTTCGCATGGCTTCGCAAGGTAGTCGATAGTTGAAGATCAACGGATTAGAGAAGAGGAGAGAGAGAAAGAGAGAAAGAGAGAGAGAGAAAGAGAGAGAGAGAGCAAGAGAGAGAGAAAAGTATATAAAAAGATGCGAAGAAAGTGGTCCGCCTGTGTATCATTTTGCTACTTCTCCTTAATTTTTCAACTATAGCTCACTTACCCTATCAAAAAGTCGAAACTTTAGAAAAATTGCATAACTTTATTTCTCGTTACTGCCATTTATCACAATGTTATTACATGCATTCTATTTAACTTATTAGATGAATTAAACAATAATCTTAAAAAAGTTCATAATATTTAAAATCGAAGTTACTTGCAATTGACTAAAAAAATTAGAATCCTGTAAAATCAGCTTTAAATTAATGGATGGATATTTGTTCGCTTGAAATTTGCAAAATAAAAAACAAAACCAATTGCTGTTACTTTCGTGCAAGCTTATCGATAATAAACATGAGTCGCAGGCATAAACATTTAATTCGCGACGATTGTTGAATTTAGCTGCTATCGATATCACGATTCACGCGATGGTAAGTAGCTCATCGAATGGGAACCAAGATGGGCAAGAGGAAAGGCGATCACGGGAGGCATTTGTTATTATTTCATCATAATAATCACCGTTAAAAGGAACGTTTCGACAAATATCGACAATATCGACAAATTTCGAACATATCGACAATTGACTTCAAAGCCATTAAAATAGCCGATTTGCAGACGCGTAATGCACGGATCCATTGATAATTAATAGGCCGACTCAACGGAAAGAGGTTATCGTGCGCAGTCCATCGGCAGAAAGGGCGCTCATTAGCTCGGCCATCTCTACGAGGATTAATTCAACAAAAGCTGATCATCCTCGAGATAAGATCTTTGAGATGGGAAAGAAATTTTTTCCGGAAAGCAAAATGAGATTACCTTTATATCCCGGCGTACTCTTATCCTTATGATAAAGTTAATTTTATGATTTTGTCAAGACGAAAGAAATTGACGCGCAGATACTAATAATAGAGCGTACAGGAAAGGATGAGACCAAAAAAATCGCCATCTGCAGTGAAAAAATCGTCGTCGCGATAATGGAACATCCAGTAGTACACGACAGCTGTGCGATGCAACAGCTGACGCGCGCACACGCTCCACGTTTAGTGATTGTGCGTGCATGCGTGTGTACCAGTGAGATCGTAGACCTGTGCACATATATTGCAGGCGTAGTGATTATATAACGACATCCGAAAGTTAATTAAAAAGTACTTTAATCGATCGGCGATACTGTCATCAAAAATTTAATCGCTCAAATAATTAAAAAGAGAAAAAACGACTGTGATATCTACGATATAAAAGTTGAAATAAAAATTTGTTCATGTCTCGCAAATAAAATCCTCCTGGTTTGTTCAAAAGGGCTAGAGTTCTACATTAGCTTGTCGAATGTATTGGATAATTATGGCGTAACGTTTCCACATATCACTCGTTGTGATTCGTCTCGAAGCACATGCTCGGTATCTGTCAATTACTGCACCGATAGTCCGATGGTAATCACTGAAGATATATTCAACGATTGTCAGTGTTAAATCCTTTAACTATCTTACCAATGAGTCTATATGCTTATACAGTAGGCAGTTTTTGCAGCATTTCCCTCAATAATCACCAACAACTCGACGATATAAAAATGAAATTCCAGTTTTTCTCGTTTAACTCGAATGCGTCGATTATTTCCTCTCATTTTCAGTCCCGACAACCCGTTTGTAATTTCGACATATTATTTCATATTATCTATCGACTTCTTCACAGCTCAAAGAAAGTGAAAAAACTAAAACGCGTTTGTCCATTTTTCAAGATAACAACAAAATATCTTTACATATGATGTTTCTTCCAGTTCTCGAAGGATACAAAACGTTTGGCGGAAGCACGAGGACATAGCAATTGTACGATTTGAATAATCGGCAAATAAAAATGAATAAACGTTATTTCCGGACGCCCGTCGTGCTTCTCCCTTTTTCTCGCGACACACGCGGACGCGCGCGCGCGCGAACCGCGCTATCGATTCTGGCGAGTTCGCTGACCTTGTGATGAGAGGGATGTCCCGTGTGATTGGCGGAGGTGTGATTTCCGGCGGGAATGGAGGCCAGCTCCTCGATCGTGAGTTCCGCCAAAGCGTCGTTCCCGCCGCTACAGCCGCCTAGAAGACTACCGGCGACGACGACGCCGCCGCCGACGCCGCCGCCGCTTCCAGGACTGACGCCCCCGACACCCCCGATGCAGCCGCCACCGCCATCCGACCTCGCGACCGACGGCCTCTTCTGCGCCCGCCTCGAGGTCACCAGTTCCTTCACCCCCGACAGCTCTCGCCGCGAGCCGCCCACGTACCTACGAACGTAAATCAAGCGTCGCCATTATTATTATCCGAATCGCGATCTAATTGTGGCCCGATACGGCGCCGTTTTTATTCGATTCGGTTGCTTAGCCTTCTTGCACTCGACATTCCCCGTTAACGCGGAAATATTTAATGAATTCGTCCATTACCTTCTTTCTTTCTGTCATATCGTCGTTAATACTTCAACTATAAAATAATAATAAGGTTTGGTCGATATGCGCTGCAGATAAATCAGAACCGTAAGTTTTAAATTAAATACACTAAAATACACTGATAACTTTACTATGCAATAGCTTTTTTCTTTTCTTTCGGAATTTATGTCGTGATTCGTCGATGATTTTGTTTGTCATAATGCTTCATCGTTAATTTCAATTCAAGTAACAAAATTTCCGTTTAAACTTGAGCGAGAAAAAAATATTAAACGCTAAAGTTGATGTTTAAATGAACGTTCAAGTTAACGTTAAGCAGAAATTTTTAAGCATATCATAGAAAGCGGTTTATAGAGAGAGATTGTAATATAAATAAAGTAGTCCAAATGGAGTTTTAGCAGTTTCTTTTTAGCAATGTTCTTCCGATCGTTCACTGCGATGTTATTTTGATTTTCAAAAAGGTCAACGATCGAATATAATAAGAGCGATGGAAACTTGACTGTGCAGCAAGAAGAGTACGCGATAACGCAGTGACAAGAGGGCGAATACGACAGCTTTATTCGACGGTCGGATTTATGGTGCACACGATGTATAAATATTTTTTTGAACGTGTACTGTGCCGCGTATTAGTACAGAAAGTATGTGTCCTATACACGTGACTCATGGCGATAATAATTATTAATCCTCCGTTTTGTGTGTGTGTGTGTGTGTGTGTGTGTGTGTATGTGTGTGTGTGTATGAGAGAGAGGGAGGAAGGAGGAGGCTTTTGTGTGATTCGCGAAAATCGCTCGCGGATGTTTTTCATATGTTTGTTTATATCGGGCTTCTTTGTGAACGAGACATATCCGTATATTATTGCAACATTTAATTGTTACTAGAATTTTTTGCGTATATATATATATACACGCAAAAAATTCTAGTAACAATTAAATGTTGCAATAATATACAGATATATCTCGTTCACAAAGAAGCCCGATATAAACAAATATATGATATATATATATATATATATATATATATATATATATATATATATATCATAAATATCATATATATATCATATATGATAAACATATATATATATATTACGAATTGCAGAAAGAAAGATACGTGATTTGTGAGACAAAGAAAAAATAATTTACATCTAAAATAAGAAACATGTATGGTAGCCGCGTTAAATATATTATTACGCACTGCTACTCAAGAGATACGAAACGCGAGTACTGCATGGGAAACCATGTTTGTTTTCCGAGAAAAGGGTTAGAAATGCCGATGCATCGGAAAAGATAATAAACACGTTCACGACGCGAAGGCCGTTCTCGTTTTTGCAGCAAGCTTTACAAATTTATCTCGCACGTGCCTTTTTAGATGGCGGTCGTTATTTTAACTGCCCTTACGGCGACCGGGCGGGCGTGGTTTAATGTGCCCCGTAAAAAAAACACGCTTAACCCCTAGCGAGTTGGGCCCGAACTGATTCATGAGCTCGACGTTTCGAGAAGCTAAATGGCCGAATGAAATTTCGGCATGTGGAAAAAGAAGTCACGACGTGTCGTGTAATTGCCAGAACCTAGTTAATCAACGACCGATGAGAAGTGACTTCTTATTCTTCGTAAGGAGCGCTTCTCGCTCATTCTTTCGTATCTCCCTCTCTAATGTTTTCGGAGAATTCTAAGAAATTTCTTGAAATTGCAGTAATCTCTAATTTCATCATAAGTGAATTTTCTCTCAGCTTGAATTTGTAAATTGGAATGTGGAAACTTGATTTTACTTTCTCCCTCGCGGTATTGGTGATCGGAAGGACGTTGTTCTTGCAGTTAAGCGCTAACTCGCGGAATGCCTTTCGCCTCCTTGATCGACGAGCTCGTTGATCACTTTGCGCAGATTAAATATTTGCGGAAAGCTCGAGCGACAGCAGTATTGCAGCGGTAACTTTTGAGCGATAACTTGGCTCGGAAAACTTGGCCGTCGTTTCTCGAACTCGCTTCTCGGAATTTGCGATTATGAGGACAATTACTATTGGTACGGTAATTAAAAGTTTTGATTGACGGGAAACGCGGAACAATTTAAGAGAGAAGAATCTCACCAAAGTCGCAAAGTACAATAACAAAATTCTCGCTTTTCCAAAACATTCGTTTGAGTCCTAAATTGTTTAAAAAATCGTACGTGCTTGATTCAATTGGCTAATGGATTAATTGTCGACCAGAATGCGCGAAAAGGATTCTTTTGCTTTTCTCGATATGATTTTGGGCAGATATCAAGTTTATAAGTTAAATACAACTTTGTGACAAACTAAGTTCTTAAGGGCCAGCATCAGAAGGTTCTGTCGAACACCATTCGTGATATATTGCAACACTTGACATCGCGACGGACGCAAACTTCATTCAGCCGTAACGTGACCCAAACGTTCAACTTTGTGAAGCGATACTCTTGTCCCGTGTGATACAAGACACGGCGGAGAAAAGGGAAAGGATAAACGAGATAGACAGTGGAATCTATGCAATTATTCAGAGTCATCGTAAAATTCGTGACTAACAACTGAATAGATGGATTTCGCTCAAATGTCACAAAGTGCAGTGGGACTGCAAATTTCAATGTGATGAAATTTAGATCCTTTCTCTCTCTTTCTCTCTCTCTCTCTCTCTCTCTCTCTCTCTCTCTCTCTCTCTCTCTCTCTCTCTCTC